TGGCATATAGCGAGACAGTGAATACAATGAAATACATAGAATACAACGGGATACATTGAAATACAATGAGAAAAAAAGATAGTGAATACAATGAAATACATGGAATACAACGAGATATATTGAATTACAATGGAAAAAAAAACAATGAATACAATGAAATATATCAAAATACAGCGTGATACGTTGAAAATACATTGAAATATATTAACAGAAAATCAAGTTGCTCAGCCCCAAAATCCGTCGTCTTTGTTCAAGAACAAACCCTAAATTCCGACGAATCCGCCGTCGAGCAAAAATCCTGAATCTCACTGTTTCCACGTATCTACATTGCTTCTGACACATCTGGCAGTACCATCGTAGCTTGATGGTGGGTTGAGCTGTGCAAACTATTTTTACAAAGGAAAGTTTGATGTCATATCAAAATGCATTGACTGGCCTCAGAGACAGTTTGCCGTTTAGGCAACTACTCGGAGATTTCTAATCATTGGCTGAGTTAGATGCAATTATCCAGTGAAGACCATATAATTTAAAATCTCTGCCTTTGAGCTTAACAAATCGTTTTCCCCATTTTTGAATTTGGGAATTGAAATAACCAAGTTCAAATCCGATAGAAAATATAGGAGATGAAAGGAGACAGAGAGAGAGCCGTACAATTGGATTTCGCCGGAGAGGAGGAGGTTCCCAAATCCCAGCCAAGAGAACTGGTGGTCGGTCAATGAATCCGGTATTATTTGGAAGAGAGAATGACATGTATCAAATTAGAGAGAGAAAGAAAATAGTGTAACTGAATAGCGTATTTAGTGGCTTAGGGGTAGAAGGTACCAAAATTAGATATTTTGCTATAAACAGTAAAAGGTATTTATATAATATAATTTTTTTTAAATGGTATTTATTTAAAATAAATACGGTGTTAACCTTTGCTACAGGAGGTAAAAATTCCTTAAAACATTGCATAATTTCTAAAAAAATTGTTTGTTTACAAATACCCTCATAATCAGCCCATCACTTTATCTTTTTAAAAGAAACATATATTGAGGAATGTTTTTATATGAAAAAGGTTTTAAAAAAATTATTTGATTTTTTATGTAATAAAGGCGAAGGGCAAAAGGAAAATGAATTAGTTGGAGTCACTTAGTGAGGCCTCGTACCTTGATCATGCGGACAAGTATAGTTGTTAATAGCTACGCGTGTGAGTTCTTTCTTATTTCTAACGAAAAAGACTTTTCTTCGATTTTCAATAAAGACGTGAGTTTTGACGAATCTTAACATTAACTCATTTAGTTTCCTTATTTTAGATTTTCGTGAGGCCACATACCTTGAGCACCTAGACACTGTACTTACTAATAGTTACATGTGTGATTTCTTTTTTATTTCTATCGAAAGAGCTTTTCTTCGATTTTCAATAAAAGCGAGTTTTGAGGTGTAGCATTAAGTCACTTAGTTAGCTTAAATAATTTAGATTTGGTGTCCAAATTTGTTAGTTTGTTAGAAAGGACTACAAAAACCAATTCTTGAAGCTAAGTACGATTAGGTCAGACTTGATGTTTGGAGATTTGCAGTCAAGCTAAAGAAATAAGAAGGGCTAAGGGCAAAATAAAAATGAATTAATTGGGGTAATTAGCAAAGCTACATGCCTTGAGCATATGGGCAATTGTACTTATTAATGACTACGCGTGTGAGTTTAATGAAAAGGATTTTTTGTTTGATTTTAAAAATTTTTATTATAGTTGGGTAACTATTTATTTTATTTCCTCATTGTTATTTCTTTTACTATTTTTTGGGCACATACATTGCACGTGCGTTGCACGTGTATTCCAAGTTATTTTTTTTTATATAGATTTTGAATAATTACTTGAGATTGTTGAAATATGTTTTTGAATAACAAATAAACCAAAGGACTTCTTATAGCTGATGAAATTAAATATTTTCTTATTAATATTTAACAAAATACAATAAATACGCTAGAAATAAGATTAACCTCCAATTAAGAAAATAAGGATAAAAGGTTTATAAAGAAGAGAGAAAAGATAAATTACTTGGCCTAGGAGAGGTGTCACATCACCTATATATATATATGTACAAGACATTAAAGCATTTAATATCAACACATTCTCAATAATCGTTGGAGTATATGTTCTCTGCAAAAACTTTATTCTCAAAAAATGTTGTCAATATGATCAAACTTATAAGTTGGTAGGAAATTATGAATTGACTCCTTACAGGGCTAGCTTTTCGGTAAGGAATTTTTACATTCCTATGTCACACAGGAAACCTTATTAACCTTAATGTTTAAGGTTTGACTTAATTACACTTAGTATACCAAATTACCAATTATATACCATAGTGTATTTTAAGGGTACAATTAATGCAACGTATATCCCTCCTTAATTCAAGGTACTGTATATCCCACCCCTCCCACGTTTCTCTCTCCCAAAACTTCATCCTCACCCACGTTTATGTACTGATACTAGGCACCACTGGTTCAAGGGGTGAAGAGCCTTCCAGATTTTGCCTCATAACATCATGTGACGAATCCTTTATAGCCTTCTGAGACAAAACATCATCTGCCTGCATACGACGATTCAATTCCTCCAATTTAGCAAGAGCTTTGGCTTTCGGTTGTTTACTTCGTTCTTCCTCTTCTTTCTGTAGCTGTAAGGCACGCTGCCTGGCTAACTCTTTCATCTTTGCACGCTAATGAAAGCAAGTAGCATACATTAGATTAGATAAAAGGAATAAACAAGTAACTGCGGGATCATGGATAAGTTAAGAGTAAAAGGTAAACATACTACCTGCGCCGTGAAAACAGAGCATCTACAATCAAAATACAAATAATCTACAATTTATCTACAAAATATCTACAAACTGGGTACATTGAATTTTAATATCCCAATTCTCATTCAATTGTAGCTTAACTGGTATTTTCGACATAATTGCGTTTTTTGCAGAAGATTTTGTAGAAGTTTTAGTCGTTTTGGATTTGTGAAAACAGAAAACAATGCATCTACAATCAGAATACAAATAATCTATAATTTATCTACAAACTGGGTACGTTGAATTTTTATATCCCAATTTCCATTCAATTGTAGCATAATTGGGATTTTTGACATAATTGCGTTTTTTCAGAAGATTTGTAGAAGTTTTAGCCGTTTTTTATTTGTGAAAACAGAAAATAAAACATCTACAATCAGAATACAAATAATATACAATTTCTGCAATATGTCTTCTTCTTCTTCTTCTTCTTCTTCTTCTTCTTCTTCTTCTTCTTCTTCTTCTTCTT